AACACACACACACACACACACACACACACACACACACACACACACACACACACACACACGCAAAAACACATTTCAAAATATTCTCCCACTCATCGCAACTTGGTGATAATTTGCATGTGTCTGACAGAGATCGTCCGGGCCATGACTTATGTGATCAACCAAGGGATGGCAATGTACTGGGGAACGTCTCGGTGGACAGCGATGGAGATCATGGTAAGCATGAAAAACATCCCGAAAGATTCACTATACATCTTTGCAAAGGAACAATTTGTAATGACTAACATTTTTTTAAAAACTAGCCATTGTTGACCAAAATTGAAATCATTCTTAATTCTACTCAATTAAACGGTGCTCCGGTAGTCGACTGGTTAGTGTGTCGGCCTCACAGTGCAGAGTTGTCGGATCCGATTCCGCCTTTCTGTGTGGTGCTTGCATGTTCTCCCCGTGCCAGCGTGGCTTTTCTCCGGGTAGTCCAGTTTCCTCCCGCATTCCCAAAACATGCATGGAAGGCTGACTGAACACTCCAAATTGTCCCGAGGTGTGAGTGTGAGCACGGATGGTTGTTCGTCTTTTTGCGCCCTGCGATTGGCTGATAACCGGTTCAGGGTGTCCCCCGCCTACTGCCCGAAGACAACTGGGATAGGCTCCAGTACCCCCCGTGACCCTTGTGAGGATAAAGCGGTTCCGAAAATGGATGGATGGATGAAGTAAGAACGAGATGGAATATTGATTAACTGACTTAAATTAACATTTGAATGAGTACCCAATTGCCACCATTTGATTAGCCCTCTCTCATCCGTCTTCCTCCTCTTTAAGTCCGTCCCATCAATGGCTGTCCTCCTTTGGTTCTTTTCTCCTCTCCTATTTTCTTTTCGTGACAAAGAAGCTGACTAATGCATATATCAGGCTTCCCAATTCTTGGTCGGTCTTTGTTCTTGCAGGAGGCGTACTCAGTGGCAAGACAGTTTAATTTGATCCCGCCAGTGTGTGAGCAGGCGGAGTACCATCTCTTCCAGAGGGAGAAAGTGGAAGTGCAACTGCCCGAGCTTTATCACAAGATAGGAAAGGAGTCTTTGCTGTCATCCTGTCATATTTTCAACTTTCCACAGTTCTTCTTCTGTTAACATACGTAGTCCCGTTTGTCTTCTCCTTGGGTGCAGGGGTTGGAGCGATGACTTGGTCGCCGCTGGCGTGCGGCATCATCACAGGGAAATATGAGAATGGCATTCCTGAATCTTCCAGGGCTTCCATGAAGGTACACACATTAATTGGACTTTTCCGGGCTTTTTCTCCAGGTTCTTCTCTTGCTGTCACATTCCAAAATGTTCGGTAAATTGAAAACTTAAAATCTGTGGTATGCTGCCCTTTTCTAATAAGAAATTTTAAAACAGGGCCCACGAATCAGAAGGTCAGTTGAAAAACAGATGAAATGTTAAGTGAGATGAAATAATAATAATTTAAAATACAACTGCAAGAAAAGGTGAAGGTACGTTCCTTTTTATTTTAAATTACCTGTATTTCAAAAGATGAATGAAATGTTCATGAAAATGTGTCTCGTGAGTTTTTTTTTTTTTTTTTAAATCCAGTTCTGTCTTTACCTTTTGACTTCCCCACTTTCTCGCTCTTCCAGTCGTATCAATGGCTTCGAGAAAAAATAGTGAGTGAAGATGGACGAAAGCAGCAAGGCAAGCTGAAAGACCTCAACCACATTGCGGAGAAGCTGGGCTGCACGCTACCTCAACTCGCTGTGGGTAAGTCACACTCCAGCCGGTCTGCTGCACTCATGTTTGCCGTCTATACAGCCCTACTCGTAATTTGTCATATTTGTCACCAACAAAATCAATACCTTACTTTCTCAAGAATAGAAAAGAAAATCTCAAACAGGCAGTTGCACACACATGATTAAAAAACAAACAAACAGAGCATCGGCAGAGGTAATTCCAAAAGCAAAATCACCACTTGTCAAGACAATTAAAAGCGCACTACCTACGAGGAAGCAACCATGGTTGGTGCAACTGCTCACGCTTCTACCTCGTCCTCTCTCTGCAGCGTGGTGTTTAAGGAATGAAGGTGTGAGTTCAGTCCTGTTGGGAACATCCAACCCCGAGCAGCTCACAGAGAACCTTGGGGCCATCCAGGTGAGAACATGGACACATGCACGCATTAACGCGATTCTTTTCCGTAGTGCTTGTCTTCATTCGGATTGTGGGTGAGCTCGAGCAGATCACAGATTATTTTGGGCAAGAGGTGTGGCGCACCCTCTCCTGAATCCAACTTTATTTCTGTAGAATTCTCACGTCCTCCCGGTATCAATTATCACGCGTCTCACATCCAGGTTCTTCCCAAGATGACGTCTCATGTGGTGTCCGAAATCGACCACATTCTGGGCAACAGGCCGTACAGTAAGAAGGACTACCGCTCATAGACCTTGCTGGTAGGACCACCCCCCAAGTGGTCAAGGCTGCGACAGACTTGTCATACCGCCTACCATGGACCTGCTGTGGCCTGCTTCAGACTGGAACAGACCCAGCATTGCATGACCTGGACTGTCTGAGCTGCCCTGCTCGGTTCCACGAGGCTAACATCGGGTGCCAACCTGATAAACCTCTCTTTGACGCTTCTAGTTTAGCTTAGTCAGCGTGGCCCTGTTTAGTATCCGTCTGGACACATGGTGCAGCCTGTTAAGTACGGTATGTCTGGAGTCGGGGTGGGTAAACTTTTGTGCTGATGGGCCAGATTTGATTTTTTTTAGGCCTGCCGTACACCAAGCAACGCTGCCGTTTGTGACAGATCTGGACATCTGGGAGCAAATTACAGTCTGTGACTCACAGCTGTACACCTGGTGATTGACCTTGCCACTCTATGTGTTTTTCCTGGGATACGAGGTTTTTAGGCAGTACCTTTATCCGGTACTGTCTTATATTTCATTGAACGATGAATAACATGATGCATTTATAAAGGAAGAAACAGATTGCTTTGGCGGCTGCAGCTAAATTATATGGGTTCGATTCCGGCACCTTTCCTTTGTGGAATTTGCATGTTCTCCCCCATCCCTGCCTGGGTTTTGTCCGGGTACTCTGGTTTCCTCCCACATTCAGAAAGAGATTCATATATACTGTACTGTTTTGGTATGGTGGCACCCGGATGGATTTTGCTTTGAACCAGAATGTATTTTTTTTATTTACATCTCTGATTTACAACCCCGTCCATCGGCAATTCTGATTTTGAATCACAATAAACCCAGAAGCCAGCGGTTGGCCACTTATGAAAATTAATTTCAGAACCCAACACACTGCACGGTAGTTCAATCCCAATCGTCCGCGGGGCTCGGTGTGTGGCGGGTGTGCAAATGGAACACATAGTTTGTGGATGAGGAAAGAAAAAAGTTCAAATGTGAGAGATAAGAAGATAAGTAAAGAGAAGAATTCATTGTCATTTCTAAATTTGAGGTTCTGCAGTTTGTTTGGATGGTGATTCCCAGGCAGTGCCAGTCCCAAGCTAGCATAAATATTATCTGGGTTGTGTCAGGAAAGTCATCTGACATAAAAACTGTGCCAAACAAATCATGCGAGTGTCTCACGGTGGCGACCACTCACAGAAAAGCCAAAAGTTGAAACATAATTCATTTAATTATTATCGATGAACCAACTATTGTTTCCTCCACAAAATCATAAAAATATAAACCTTTATGTAAGTATTTTTTACATTCATGTGTTATTTTATTGACCATAAAATTAATTGATTTGAATTTCAATAATTAATATATTTTAATGAAACACTTTTCAGGGGGTGAGAGCTAAAATAATGCAACAAATATGGACTCTTGAACATGTACTGTCAGTGCTTAGTGCGCTGGATTGATAGAAGGTGTGGGTTGCACAGCTTTTAGCCTGTGTCCTACATACCGGTACTTTACCCACCTCTGCTCTCCAGCGACTTCTACATGACGAGTGGCACATCAGGAGCGTTTCAAGAAAAAGTGCCTTGCTTTGAGAGCAACTTCTAAATACAGTAGGGGAGCAAGATAAGCCTCTTTCACACACAGATGCCACAAAAGAGGAGCATCCAAGCTAGAAGAGAAGAGCATGCATTTATCAGCGTTTGCCTTTCACACAGAACCCAGCAAAGCAGTATATTGAAAGGATGGTTCTTGCATTCACAATAACACGGCATCCACTCACAAAAAAAAAGATTACATTTTTCAATGCACTTCTTCAAGTTTAATAATTGAAATTCAAATATAAATGATTCAGATTCTGTTTCTGGTGGCACATATTCAGCCCATAGCCATCTTTTTGAACGGCAACAAATTACTTTCAACACAGCAGGGCAGTAAACGTCAGTATCGAGTTTAAAGCTTCACACCCTTGCGGCTCTGATGCAACCTTCAACGTGGAATATTCATGGGACACCTTTGTACAGACGTTCTGTCTTTTGCAGAAAAGGGACTTTTGTGGAGGAGTAACTTTTTCTGTCCTTTTCAGGGCAGTGTGAAATGGCTTTCATTTGAGTGGTACACTACCCACTTGTATGCTCCCAATGACTCAAACCCTCCAGCCTGCTTAGCTCATTTCACATTGGTACGTTTCAGCAAAAGTCAGCCTTGTTTAGGATACACACACGCACACACACACACACAATTTTATATATCTATATATATCTATATATATACACCTGAGACACTGTCACTCATATATCTATATCTATAGATATATGAGTGACAGTGTCTCAGGAATTATGGCGACAACAAATATGATTCTTTT